AATAAAAAGGTCAGTTGGCCACAAAACCAAGCGGTCTCCGGTACTGTTCTACTCCCTTCCTCTTGTATATTTTGCAATACTGTTAGCCTAAATGATAGGCTAAACAGGTAAGTGTTAAACTTAGTATTCAAGGGTATTTTACTAAGCATGTTTTTGTAGCTAGGAGTTTACTGTATCACCCCGATGAGGTTTTAGGTTAAGGACTACATAGACCAGACAATTACCAATCTCGACAGTAAACCTTGGTTAGGCCAACCTAACCGGTGGTGTTCAGTTGGACCCATTTAGGCAGGTGGTCATTGAAGGGTTATTAGGAACACCGTGGTTTAAGGTTTACCTAGCGATTAGTAATTAGCCAAGACTGGGGGTTCTTGTAATTTAATTCCTGACCTCATTCGGAAGCGATCCTGTACCCCTTGGTATATATATATATAAAAATTTTATTTTGTGCCTCACAACTAACACTAGTTGCGTGAGGTTTCTTTTTTGTCTCATAACTTTATGGTCCCAGAATTTTGTGGACCCAACTGTGTAAAGATATGGGTTCACAAATGTGTAGGCACACCATAAAATCACTTATATATGTAATAATCCAATCTTGTGATCTTTACCTGTCATTTTAAAAAGATAAACTTTCAGAAACCAGTGGTTATTAGCTAGTTGTAGTTACCATTTATTATATTACTTCCTATAGCTATATTTTCAGGTTTTTTAGAGTGTATTCGATGTATTTAAGGTACTGTATTTATGAATACAGTAGCATTTTTAGGCATGAAACATGGAATTACAGCTAGACAAATGTCACAACCCCAAACCATCCCGGTCGTGATGGCGCCTATCACAGTACTAGGCAAGACGATTCAACATTTACAATATCGAGTTCTTTTATAAATTCATTTTTCTATTCAGATAAATCTCAAATCTCTCAGTTTAGTTTATATAAAATACGCAGAAACAAGTACGTAAAATACATTAACACAACCCGAATCTGGTGTCACTAGCCAAGAGCCACTAAGTACAACTCAACATTATATGCTTAATACAAAATAAGTCTGAAATATAAAGTACTAGGATAGGAAAGAGAAAAGCAGGCCTGCGAACGTCGTGCAGCTACCTTGCTAAATTCGGAAATACACGAAAGCTGCTGAAAGCTCTCACTTTGATGCTCTGGCACCTGAATCTGCATACAAGGTGCAGGGAGTAACATGAGTACGCCAAATCAGTAAGTAACCAAAGTAAATAAAGTCTGAATGCAGTGATGAGCATTTAAAATCATATGCATACTTTATCAAGAATCTCAACAGAAATATCAAAGTCAAAATCTGTAGTTCAATAACCAAATGTCTCGTAAAAACTCCAGTTTCAATGAAAATCCTTTAAAGCATTTATTCAACATTTTTCAATAGAGGCTCAATATAAAAGAAGAGTGAAAACGGGAAAAAATCTCATAAACAAGCCCCTCAGGTAAAGTATCACTCATAAGTATAGCCCCTCGGGCAAGCCTCTCAGTCACTCGTGACTTAACTCTCGTCAATCAGTACTCACACTTAGCACACCCACTCAATAGATATCTTATACTAATAATAACCTCTGTGGCGTGCAACCCGATCTATAATATATAGTCGACTACGCTCGCTGGGGGGGTATAGACTCTGGAAGGGCTCCTACAACCCAAGCGCTATATCACTGCGGCGCGCAGCCCGACCCAACATATTGCTGTGACATGCAGTCCGATCCATATATATATATAAATAAATAGTGTTGCGGTGTGCAGCCCGATCCACAAATATATATAATCTTTACCATCATGTCCTCGACCTCTCTCTCAGTCATTAATCTCACAACCACTCAGGCATTTCAGTGAAAATCAGGGAACTCATGTCCAAACAGTTTTCTTATATTTGAAAGTAGAGTAATGAAACTGAATCAATAATAAACATGTAAAATCATGATCGAGGATATGCTTTCAAATCAAAACAGTATGAGGAAAGTAGTAAAATACGCCTAAGGGTCCAAACAGTTCGGCACAGGGCCCCAAACATGGCATTCCGCCCAAGTTAACAGATTCATTTCTAAAACACATGGATATCATATAAAGTTTATCAAAATATGTAACTTTATAGTCGCCACAGGACGGACCAAGTCGCAATCCCTACGGGTGCATGCCCGTCACCTAGCACGTGTGTCACCTTATTTATCAAAATAGTATAAAATTCCGAGGCTTAATACCCTCAGACATAGATTTACAATCGTTACTTACATCGAATCATATGAAATCCTACTCCGCGACGCCCTTGCCTCTCTGACTCGACCTCAACTCATCTCGAATATATCCAAAATCAGAACGCTAAGGGAACAAAGCCCATGCGAAAATAACCAAATTACATAAAAAAAACCCGAAATTGGTCAAACCCGACCCCCAGACTCACGTCTCAGAATTCGATAAAAATCACATCAATAGAATTCTTATCCTTCCATGAGTCCATACATACCAAGAACACCAAATCGAACCTCAAATGGTCCCTCAAATCCCCAATTTTACCTCTCCAATTTCAAGCCCTAACTTCCCAATTTTTCACCCTTAATCTCATAAATTTCCATGTGTTAATCCGCTGAAATTCATCATAGAATCGAGTTTTAGGTTCAAGAAACTTACCTCAATGAAAACCCCATTGATTCCCTTTTCAAAAACCTCCAAAAAGCTTCAACTCCGAATAAAAATGGTGGAAAATAACCCAAATTTTGCGAAGGCAAGAATTTATATGTTCTGCCTAAGGGTTCCGCATCTACGGTTCAATACCGTACCTGTGACCCCCGCACTTGCGACAAGAAGTCCGCATCTGCGGAATTTCACTTAAAGTCCCCATCCGCACCTGCGATCAAGCCACCGCATCTGCGGGCTCGCAGGTGCGACTAACCTTCCGCATCTGTGCTGCATCCCCAGCCAACTGGCCTTTGCTCTTGCGAACAAAATGCCGCTTCCGTGGCTCGCACCTGCGTTCCCCAATCCGCAGGTGCGGTTATGACACAAACACAGTAGCTTCAGCTGCAAACTCTATTTTCCAACTCTCCGATAATCATCCAAAATCATCCCGAGGCTCCCGGGAGCTCATCCAAAAATACGAACAAGTCACATATCACTGTTCAAACTTATTCCAATCTTCGAAACACTCAAAACGGTATCAAAAGACCAAATCACCCTCAGATTCAAGCCTATGGATTCTAAAACTTTCGAATTCCGTAACCGATCCAAAAACCTATCAAACTTCATCCGAATGACCTGAAATTTTGCACACACGTCAAAAATGATACAACAGACCTACTCCAATTTCTGGAATTCCATTCCGACTCTGATATCAAAATTTTCACTACCAACCAGAAAACGATAAAACTCTAATTTTGCCAATTCAAGCCTAAATCTACCACGTACCTCCAAAATACATTCCGATCACGCTCCTAAGTCCCAAATCACCTCACAAAGCTATCCGGACCATAAAAACCAAGGTACGAGATCATTTACTCACAAGTCAACTTCCAGTTGACTTTTCCAACTAAAACTTCTAAAAAAGAGACTAAGTGTCTCATTTCTCTACAAAACCAATCCGAACTCGAACCAACCAATGCGATAAGATGAAATGAAGCTGAACAACACATAAAAAAGCAGAAATGGGGAAAACGGAGCGGTAACTCATGAAACGACCGGCTAGATCGTTACAACTGATTTTTGTATTCAACTATATTCACGGCGTGAAACAAGGGATTACAGTTAGACAAATTATTGTATTCGACTGTATTCACAATATGTATTTGTGAATACAGTAACGTAAATAGCGCAATTCATGGTCTATTCAGTTATTTTTAAACGGAAATTGAATCAATTAACATAATAAACTCCTAATATAACTCAACAAACTCAATTATAACACACATAATTTGTATTTCCAATTATAAAAAAGATTCTCAACCGAAAAATATCCCAAAAACATAGCAATCTTCAAAGTAAATATGCTAAATATTTTTCCCAACTGATAAATACAACAAAAACAGAGCAATTTGAATACATAAATTATATTAATTTAAAAAATATGTGAATACATTCATGGAATACAACGAGACAGTGAATACAATAAAATACAATGAAAAAAATAATGAATACAATGAAATACATGGAAATATAGCGAGATACATTGAAATATATTAACAGAAAATTCAAGTTGCTCAGCCCCAAACTCCGTCATCTTTGTTCAAGAATAACACTAATGTCATCTCGTCGAGAGGGCCGCGATTCTGACTCGAAACGCCACTGTTCCCTGTTACCATAATACCCTCACGTGTGCTTCAAAAACCTATTCGTTACAATTGAATTTGAATGGCACTTGTAGATTGGGACGGAAACCTCCAGATTGGGCAGAACCCTAGAATGACGAAGAGAAGAAGACACAACATACATAGCACATTGAGTTAATTCAACTTAATAGAATATAATAAATCATAAATTACAAATTAAATCATCACATATGTGCCATTTTCAACGTCCACATAAGTATGTTTAGGGTTGTAAGGGTATTTTGGTGGCCTTTTCTGGTTCTTGGCCGTATCAGATATTGAAACTTTTTGAGTTTTGTCCATAGTTGTTGACTTCACTTCTCTCTCCAGATATTGAAACTTTTCCATTCTTGCTGAAAAATTTCAGATTGAGAGTCAAAGCTACCCGTTTCGATCTGTATTTGGGAGAATTGTGGTTGTATTCATGGAAAAAGATTGGAGTTGAGGGAGAGGGTAGAGAAAAATCTGAAAGAATGAGATAGAAAAATAATACAAGGCATATTTTATAGCTTAAGAGTATGAGGTGACCATAAATAAATATTTGACTATAAAAATAAAAAAATAACTATAAAATATAATTTTTAAACGAATATTTATTTAAAATAAATAAGATAATTATTAGCACCACGTCCTTTTTAAAAAAAAAGGCGAACCGCTTGCCCATCACATTTTATTGGGGTCGGGTCTAACAACTATCATCAATGATCAGCACACCTCGGGAAAAGCAATATTTAGTCAGCAATCAGTCTTGTTCTACCTCATCCTAAAAGCGATTCTTCTCACAATCCAAACATCAGATATCGCACTCGGAAAAAATGGAGTTGGAGGTGAGAGTCGTCGGAGGAATCGAGAGCTGTTTCGTGTCGTTACCAGTGAGCTTAATCCAGACTCTCGAGTCCACCACTGCTTCCGGCTACCTTCCTCCCATTCTAGCCCTCGAACTTCGCTCTCCTCAAAACGCTAACCAACTCTGGCGTGTTGCTTGGTCCGGTTCCGCTTCTTCCCATCCATTTCCTAATTCTATTCAGGTTCACACACCTCAATTTCTCAAATTTTGCTAGCGAGTTTAACTAATAACTGGAAATGTTCAATTTTTCTTTTAGTTTTGTGTCATTTATGTTGTTTGTTGTGTGGATGAAGATTGCAAAGCAATATGCCGAGTGTATTGGATTGTCGGATCGTGCAGTGGTTCGAGTAACAGCACTGTCTAATTTGCCTAAAGCTACTATGGTTACCATAGAGCCTGATACTGAAGATGATTGGGAAGTTTTGGAACTTAATGCTGAGCATGCCGAGCAGGCTATTTTAAAGCAGGTGCTTATAATTACTATGTGTTATTGATTTAGAATGTGTTGTTTCACTTGTATACTGTTTTTCCTCGTTTTTTTTAATAACCGTGGTGCCCGGCCAGCTTGCGCGTACCTTGACTAATTCTTTGGTAGACCAGATACTTTGTCTACCAAGGCTTGGGCAGATGGAAGAAATCACCTAGTGGTTTTTGGCAAAGAAAAGTTTTTCCTCGTTCTTGTGTATCATATGTTTTAGTATTTACTGGTTTTCCTGTAGCTTTTGCTTATAAAAGGTTAAACTTTAAATGCAATGGATAATAAACTACCAGGATATTATCTTTTATGTGAACCTTATCGATCACCTTAATCGTGATATTAAAATTTCATAAGGATGCGATGCATAGGACAAATGACATTAGTGTTTAAGCCAGGTTGTTTTCTAGCAAACTGCTTGTTCCCCTAAATATAAGTTAAAAAAGAAATAAAAATTACAGAGGGCATGACCACCATTAATGGGATTTGTTGTTGGGGCAGGCAGAGAGGTATAGCTGCACAGTGATATGTTTATTTGTATAGCTGCACAGTGATTTGTTTTTGTCTGATACAATAATAAACCTCAATTCATACAGTTTTTAAAAAGGATTCAATTGAATTAATGCTGTGAACTATGGACATTTCTAAGAGAAATGGGCAAAGGATAAGAGACGCTTATGGGTTTTGGTTAGCATAAGGCAAAATATGCCTTTCATTCCTAACTAGCTTAAAACAAATTTATGAAAGATCGACCTGTTTTGATGATGTGATTCTTAGCTCAACCCTGTGTTACCTGCGAAAAAAGAATCATACCTTGGTTGCTGACTGTCATCCTTTCTCTTTGCTCTTGGTTTTTGGTTTATTGCTTAAAGTCCAGCTAGAAAGTACTAAAAGTTTCATTTAGAATAAGTATGAGCATCTTTAATATTACTTGTAGGAGGGAATGCTTGAGATTGTTTCAGATCCTTCTTACTCTCTAGAATTGACTGGTTGTTAACACAAACGTAGTACTTGTGTTGATTGGAGTTGTAGTTACTACCTGGAGTAGTTGAGGTGAGCAAGTTGGCCAGAGCTCCCCAGTTATTTAAAAAACAACAAAATGAATCCCATTCCCGGAGAAAAAGGAGGAAGATACTTGTTTTAATTTTGTAAACATATCAAAAGACCTACTGAACTTATGTCATAACATACTCTTTGTGTTTCACACTAAATTCCACATTTCTCATCTGGGTCGTGCCAAATTAGTATCCAGTTTGATCATTTAGACCATATTACCACCTATTATACCCATTTCTAAAGTTTTTCCTGGTTCCGTACTTTCGGTTCACTCCCCTAGTTAAATCAGAAAAGATAATCTATCACCTGGCCTATAAACCCACTTCTTGGAGGTTAATCCATGTTCAAGTTAGTTACTATTCTGTCTATAATTTTCTTTCAAGAACAGTGTAAAGTCAAACACCATATTTAACTTGAAGCCATGGGAATGATACTGTTTTCTTGAAGTTGACCAATACTCAACCATTGTGTATTTTATGCAGGTTGGTATTGTCCATGAAGCAATGCGATTTCCTTTGTGGCTGCATGGGCAAACAATTATTACATTCAAAGTTTTTTCAATCTCTCCGCTCACACCGGTAGGTAAGAGGATGTTAATTCCTTGGTTGATGTATGTGATTTACTGCCTATCATGCTCTATTTTTTGATAAGAACTTGGCTGCTAAACTTGGAAGCTTGCCCCATTACTGGAATATAAAGTTTCGAAGGAAGATGCATGTTTTGGAGCTCAATGACTACTTTCTTTCATGTATTCTCTGACAATGTTGCCTGTATCTTTGTATTATGTGAGAAGGCACGGGAGAAAATATGATATATATTGATATCTTGTATGTGATGCAATGCAAGAGGTGCTATTTATAGCTACTCTATACAAAGGGGATACTACTCCTATTCCAATGTGGGACAATTACATAGCTATCTCTAACACTCCCCCTCAAGCCGGAGCATATAAATCATATGTACCGAGCTTGTTACATATATAATCAATGCGAGGACTAGTGAGGGACTTGGTGAAAATATCTGCAAGTTGATCATTCGATCTCACAAACTTCGTAGTAATATCTCCTGAGAGTATCTTTTCTCTGACGAAGTGACAATCAATCTCAATGTGTTTAGTTCTCTCATGAAACACCGGATTTGATGCAATATGAAGTGCAGCTTGATTATCGCACACAAGTTCCATCCGACTGATTTCACCAAATTTCAACTCCTTGAGCAATTGTTTGGTCCAGACTAGTTCACATGTTGCCATAGCCATTGCTCGGTATTCTGCTTCTGCACTAGACCGAGCAACTACATTCTGTTTCTTACTTTTCCAGGACACCAAATTTCCTCCTACTAAAACACAATATCCAGACGTAGAACGTCTATCAGAAGGTGATCCTGCCCAATCAGCATCTGAGTATCTAACGATCTGCTCATGACCTCGATCCTCAAACAGTAATCCTTTACCTGGAGCCGATTTTATATACCGGATAATGCGGACAACTGCATCCCAATGACTTCACAGAGAGAATTCATAAACTGTCTTACAACACTCACATGATAAGAAATGTCGTGCCTAGTCACTGTGAGATAATTTAATTTACCAACCAGCCGCCTATNGGTGAATAACAACGATATCCCTTCTGAACACGAGAATAACCAAGGAGAAAACAGACTCTGCATGACTCTCAACACTACGCGTAAAGGAAGCTCGGGTATGTTTCCCAACCTGACACGACTCACAATCTAGNCAACCAACGGTAGATTTACCTGAAGGAAGAGGAACAAGCTCCCATGTACCACTTGTATGTAAAGTAGACATCTCGTCACTCATAGCCTGGCGCCATCCTGGATGAGACAATGCTTCACCTGTAGACTTAGGGATGGAAACCGAGGACAATGAAGATATAAAAGCATAATGGGGAGATGACAGACGATGATAACTCAAACCAACATAATGAGGATTAGGGTTTAGTGTGGTCATTATACCTTTTCGAAGTGCAATCGGTGTACTAGGAGCAGGATCCGCAGTAGGAGCCGTGTCAGGTGCAGGACGAGAACCAGATGGGCCTGATGTAGGG